TTCCCATCCTCTTGAAAGGACAGCAACGGTGCATCTTCGTTTTTTTTTTTTAGTAGCAAGGACAAGTTAAGTTTGAAAAAGAGAACTAAAATCCTAATAAGCTTATGTAATTGACGCAGCAGTTTCTTCAGCAGTTGTGGTCTCTCTATCCTCTAATAACATGTCAGGGCATTCAGTCGGAACTTCTAGAATCAAAATGGTATCTTCATATTCACCATGAGCTGTTTTAGCTAACAAATCAGCGCACCCAATGATGATCCCACAAGTGTGATTGAATGTCACTTCACTATTTCCAAAAATCAAATCCCTTATTTCATTTATAACTGATCTAAAGGGATTATCTGCTGTGAATAATGGTGCATCTGTTGTGAAACAATCGTTTTGTGAGTATCAATAATATTATTAAAAGAGCTCAAGGAGATTGTATTATATTTAGTACTCCTCTACTTCATAGTATAAAATACTAACTTGATTTATTAATATACAAAACATTTAATTTTTTTAAATATTTTGTCCTTCGTTATAATTAAACTCATATGTTGTTATTTCATTATAACTAATGCTAATTGACTTTTGATAATGATATATTTAACAAAATCTAACAAATTTTATACTTCTCTGATACTTAATACAGAACCTAATTGTTAAATTTATTTTGATCATAACTATAAGACTTATTTTTTTTTTATGTTTGTTAGTTTTTTCTAAATTACTCATATTGATACTCTATCAACCATAATGAGGTGGGGGAGAAAGATAGAATATTAAAGAAGATGATTATGTTGTTTTAAGAAAAAATATCATATTTTTTTTATAATTAACTAACTTACCTAATTTTTTTAATATATTCAAATTAGTTAAATAGATTTTATATTAAAGACTAAAGGAGTAACGTATATAATTAATAGGGAAAATTTCATTTAAGGACCGCAAAAGGGAATTTATATCAGTCAACCCCCAAAACATTTTGAAATATCACTGCAGGACTAAGGGACCAAACTGAAATTAAAACTAAGAGTAAGATTACAATAATACCCCTCACTTTTATTTTTTTAAAAAATAAATATTAATAGACGTAACTGTTCCGGCCACCAGAGCTTCAGTAACGGCCACTGGAGGTTCGGTCGCTGGTGCTCAGGTGGCCGCCGTCAGAGGTTGGACCTTCGATGGCCGTTATTATAGTTCTGGTGGTCGGAATTTTTTTTTTTTAAAAGACAAGGTGGCCAAAAGAAAGTTTGAACTCATGAGCCCTTGGCTCGCCAAAAGTGATGTAACTACCAAGTCAAACAAACCATTCAATCATGTAATGCAAATAAATATATATATATATATATATATAACAAAACAAACATAACTGTCCAAGTATAAGTGAACAAGTGAAATTAGACGATTTAGAAGTGAAATTTAACAATTTACAAAAAAATTAGACAATTTACAAATAACATAATAAAATTCACAACCCTAAATGCAAGTATTTAAGTGCAAATGAGCAAGTAAAATTTAAAGATTTACAATAAAAGTTTATGGATTTACAACCCAAATTTAGCTATTCACAAGAAATATAAGAGAATTGACAACCCAAAATGTAAGTATTTGAGTGTAAGTGAACAATTGAAATTAGAAAATTTACAAGTGAAATTCAGCAATTTACAACAAAAATTAAGAAATTTATAAATAACATAATAAAATTCACAACCCTAAATGCAAGTGTTTAAGTATAAATGAGTAAGTGAAATTTGAAAATTTACAACAAAAGTTTATGGATTTACAAGTAAAATTCGACAATTTTACTTGTTTATTTACATTTAAACACTTACATTTGGGGTTGTGAATTTCATTATATTATTTGTAAATTGCCAAATTTTTGTTATAAATTATTGAATTTCACTTATAAATTGTTGAATTTCACTTATTCACTGACACTCGAACACTTATATTTTGGGTTGTGAATTCTCTTGTGTTTCTTGTGAATAGCCAAATTTGATTTGTAAATCCATAAATTTTTGTTGTAAATCTTCAAATTTTATTTGCTCATTTGCACTTAAACACTTGTATTTGGGGTTATGAATTTTATTATGTTATTTGTAAATTGCCTAAATTTTTTTGTAAATTTCTGAATTTCACTTGTAAATTGTCTAATTTCAATTGTTCATTTACACTCAAACACTTATATTTTGAGTTGTAAATTCTCTTATATTTCTTGTGAATAGCTAAATTTGGGTTGTAAATCTATAAACTTTTGTTGTAAATCTTCAAATTTCACTTGCTCATTTACACTTAAACAATTGCATTTGGGGTTGTGAATTTTATTATGTTATCTGTAAATTGCCTAATTTTTGTTGTAAATTCCTGAATTTCACTTGTAAATTGTCTAATTTCAATTGTTCACTTACACTCAAACACTTACATTGTGGATTGTCAATTTTCTTATATTTCTTCTTAACAGCCAAATTTGGGTTATAAATCCATAAACTCTTGTTGTAAATCTTTAAATTTCACTTACTCATTTGCACTTAAACACTTGCATTTGGGGTTGTGAATTTTATTATATTATTTGTAAATTGCCTAATTGTTGTTGTCAATTGTTGAATTTTACTTGTCAATCGTCTAATTTCACTTGTTCACTTATACTTAGACAGTTATGTTTGTTTTGTTATATATATATATATATTTATTTATTTTTATTACATGATTGAATGGTTTGCTTGGCTTGGTGGTTATATTACTTTTGGTGAGTCAAAAGGTCATGGGTTCAAACCTTCCTTTGACCGACCACCTTGTTTTAAAAAAAAAAAAATTCTGGCCACCGGAGCTACTGTAACGGCCACCGGAGGTCCAACCTTCGATAGCGGCCACCTGAGAGTCAGTAGCTCGACCTTCGGTGGTCGTTGCTGTAGCTCTGGTGCCTGGAGCAGTTACGTTAATTAATATTTGTTTTTTAAAAAAATAAAAACAAGGGGTATTATTGTAATCTTACTCTTGGTTTTAATTTCAGTTTGATTCCTTAGTCTTGTAGTGATATTTCAGAATATTTTGGGGGTTGACTGATATAAATTCCCTTATGCGGTTCTTAAATGAAATTTTCCCTAATTAATAATATGACTTTCTTCCACCGACGACTTTTGATCTGGTACAATAATTAAATTTTACTGTGGATGGGAGGACGAGAAGTAAAATTTATTTTATTAGAAATTGATATATAACAACTGATTACCTGAAGCTAGCGTAGGAAAATGCTACAACATATATTAATATATAGTGATTATATCACATATTGCCACACCTAATAGTCATTGTGGACTCATAAAACGAGAGCTTGAACATAAATCAACTCTCTTCTACACGCATCCTTGCTGCGGATAATTTCATGGCGAGATTGTGACGTCTTCAATTTTATTAATGTATATAAAGCAACAAATAACAAATTTTTATTAAACAATACATATATATAATGAAACTGTAAATTTTGGTTCTTTTGAAGAAGTGCTCAGCATTAACCAACGTAATTTAATAGAAAGAACTAATTTCTTATGACACAATAAAATAATGTTTGCATTTTGGTAAAAAATATTATTCACATTTAATATTTAATAATGCTTTGAACAGAATTATTATTAATACGAAAGTACTCATATTTATGAGGAGGAAAAAATCTTTTTTCTCAATAAAAAAATATGCTGAAACTGTCGAATTAGTTTCTCTCGGGAGAAGGGCTCCGCATTATACGCAAAACGTACAAGGATTGCGCATGAATTTTGATGTCATCCCAACAAACAAAACCCAGCTACACTCATTCACATGTTACGCCTAGTTGTTGTTGCACTTAAACAGAAGGAATTTTTTTTTTTCCCTCTCTTGTCATGTATATAAGTTATTTTCAATATGTTTTATATAGATAAAAAATTCTTAAGCTTATTAATTTTTATTTAAAAATCAACAATTTTTATTTTTATTGTTATTTAATATACATTACACGTCATGTAAATAAAATCAATACAACAATAAAAGAAACTAAAATTATATATTAATATAAAATTTTTTTCTCAATACCTTATAAATAGAAAAAAAATCTTTTCTTTCAGTCATATAAATAGGAATAGAGGAGTATTTGCTTTTGTGGGGTAAAAAAAAAAAAAAAAGAACTACCTGTTGTACCAAAATAGACCATCCATAATTCCATATATCACAAAGAGAGATTTATTTAAGCACAAGCTAATACAAAAAAAAAAAAAAAAGCGCCATGCCTGAATTTTAATCAGTTTAAAAGAGACCTCAGTTTTTTTTTTTTTAAATAAAAATGTGTGAATTATCTCCATACCACTAGGTTATAAACTTATAATTTAATCCTCCCTTCGTCCTAAATGTACGAAATAGTCAGAAAAAATATATTTTTAAATATAAAGCTTCAATTAATTTATCTTTTAGATATCTAATTTTTAAACTGACATATAGGAATGCTTCATTGAGGTATTTGAGGGAGATGTCACGTTTATTAGAATTAAATAATTTATTTATCTTTATTATTGATCTACCCAAATTAATTTTTACATTAAATATATAATTCTGGTTAACATAACTGAACTGACATATATCAATTGAATGGAACAGAAATCTATATGTAGATGAGATTTCATGTAAGCAAAAGCCACTTAAAGTTGAGATTTTTCCAATTAGTTTTTTTTTTTTTAAATTTTCAATTTAGGGGCAGTTGGAAACGGAAGGACAGCAAGTGGAAGTGGAAGAGTAAGCCATACCCAAACAAAGAAAAGAAAGGAGGCGGTGGTGTTTGTCTCAACGTTCATCCGTGAACCTCTGTCTCAAAAGTTTTTCTGTTTATCTCCATTCTCTTCCCTCCATTTTCCCCTACCTGCTTCCTCTTACTCATCCTTTCACGAGATTCTTTTTCCCCCCTCATTCTTCTCTGTCTTTTTCTCTCTCTATATATACCCCACCATACCCGACCTTCCTCCCTCACATGTCCTCCCTCCCTTCTCTCCTCTCCTCTGTTCTCCTCGGTTTCACCCACCTCCCAGCGTTTTCTCTTCTCCTTTCTTTCTAACCAAACAAGTTTTTTCTTTTCTCTTCTATCTCAATACCATTTGAGAAGCTGAGTTCTTATGCAGTAGCAGATGTATTCAACTGTCAAGAACGCTCACAGTCACAGGCCTGCTGCTTCTTCAGGTAATCCCTCTTCCTTTCATGTTCAAATCCTTATTTTATTTACCAAACAAACTGATAAAGAGAGAGACGAGTCACTGGTCGTTTGTTTAATCTGATTGTTAATGTCAGGCCCATTTATGATTCCCATCACTTTTCTGCTGGATGCCATTGTTGTTGTGCTGGTTGTGAGTCCTTTTGCTGTCACTGGTCTCAAGGAATGTACCAACACTCCCACACAATCTCATACCTTGCGCGCCCAGTTATCAAAATCCAAAAACCAGACATGGAAGGCTGAGGTTATGTCTCACTATCACCTCACTCCGACAGATGACTCTGTCTGGGAAACTTTGCTGCCCAGAAAATTGTTGAAAGGAGGAAAAAATGAGCATGATTGGGCAATGATGTACAAACAGATTAAGAATCAAGGGTTGTTGAACTCGAACTCACCTCAAGGTATTCTCAAAGAAGTTTCACTACATGATGTGAGATTGGATCAAAACTCGATCCATTATCGGGCACAGCTCACAAATTTGGAGTATTTGTTACTGTTGGATGTTGACAATTTGCTATGGAGTTTTAGGAATACAGCTGGCTTGCCTACTCCTGGCACGCCTTACGGAGGTTGGGAAAGTCCTGAAATGGAGCTTAGGGGCCATTTTGTTGGTGAGTTGCTTTCATTCATTCATTATCTTAGATGTTTGTTTCATTATTTCTATTTAGTTATTGTCTTTAATTGTACCATATTACTTATGTCCCCTCATAAATGCTTACTTTATTGGAGGTTAAAAGGTGAGACTGTGTGAAAACAGATCCGACATTAAATTCCATTAAGCAATGAGTGAAAATGTCATAACATAAAGTTACATGTTTTCTCATATTAATTAATTAGTTGTTTTTAACATTTTGAAGGCCATTACTTGAGTGCATCGGCTAGAATGTGGGCTAGCACACATAATGATGCTTTGAAGGGGAAAATGTCAGCCATCGTTGGTGGTCTTTCAGCTTGCCAACAGAAAATTGGAACAGGATATCTCTCAGCATTTCCATCTGAATTTTTTGATCGCTTTGAAGCAATTCAATATGTGTGGGCTCCCTATTACACCATTCACAAGGTACATTAATCCATAACTTTGTTCTTGAGTATGTAAGTATATAATAACTGTACCATCAAGTGAATATTGTGGGGCTTAATTTCCTTGATCGACTTTGATAGATCATGGCTGGGCTACTAGATCAACATATTGTAGCTGGAGACCCTCGTGCTTTGAAAATGGTGACGTGGATGGCTGAGTACTTTTACAACCGTGTGCAGAATGTGATCGCAAAATACACTATAAGTAGACACTACCAATCATTGAATGAAGAAACTGGAGGAATGAATGATGTCCTTTACAATTTATATAGCATAACGGTAGGTTAATTAGTATTGTTGCTTCATTAATTTGTTCAAATAATACTTGTCATTTCTATACTTGCTTCATTTACTAGTTATGAAGAAGTGATTTTTCAAAATACAAGATAAATATATGAGATGAGTCTTGTATCATAAAACACAAAAATACTTATTTTAGACTAATACAAAGAGCTATTTAATATAATTTTGAGTCGTTTCAAGTTGCTCATACGTTCAATTCTAAGTGCACATGTCTTGCAAACTTATGTAGGGAGATCAAAAGCATCTATGGCTGGCTCATCTTTTTGACAAGCCATGTTTTTTAGGGTTGCTTGCTGTAAAGGTAATGATTACATTCATTTATTATATTGTTTTTATCTGATTTTTAACTATATTTTTGGCCCTAAATCACTAATTTCCATTTCAGTACCTAAAAAGCCATTGCCTGGAAATTTCTTCCAAAAAGTTGCTGTCTTGCTCATTAATTAATTAATTATTTTATTTTTCTGGATGTTGAATGTTAACATCATTATGGTCTTTTTTATTTATTTCATCTTAAATTATTCGGGATCAGAACTGGAATTAAATGCTACGTACCAATCGGTTGCAATGTCAACTAAATTTCCGTGAAAAACAAGTTTCTCACTTAAATCAAATTTCACTTCAAATGAAAAGCAGATTGGGGTGTCCAAAGAAAGGGAAAAAAAGCAGATTGGATTGGGAGTAAAATGAGGGCAATCATTATTTCCTCTTTCACCCCCCCCCCAAAAAAAAAAAGATTCATTTAAGTGAACATCATTAGCAATAACGAGCTCACATTTGTATGAAATGTTCATAATTGGATTTCAACTTTGGCAGTGGCATAATCATATTCTAGTTTAGATACATATTTAACTGGGTCTACAATATCTTATTTCCTCTGTTTATTCATTTTTAATTAACTCACACAAATTAATGCAGGTAGATAGTGTGTCCCAAAACAAATTCCAATATTTTCAAATATCCCCTTAATTAAATACAGTTAACTATTTTTAATGAGGACTGAACTAAATTAACAGGGTTCAAGTAATTTTTCAATTTTTCAGGGGCATTTTTGGAATTAAACCTCCAATCTTTTCAAATATACCCCTAAAATGCATAATAAATTGAAAAATAAAACCTTAAATATTAGCTGTCAGTCATCCTACTGATGATTTATTACCATATCTTTTCTATATAATGTTAGATATAATTATTTTCTTGCAAAGCCCAAGAGTTTTAAAAAATCTTCATTTTTTCTATGCAGGCTGATGACATTTCGGTATTGCATGCTAATACACATATACCGATTGTTGTTGGATCTCAAATGCGGTATGAGGTTACTGGTGATCCGCTTTATAAGGTAACCTCTGCACATAGAGATATATATATATTATTTATAAAATTTAATTTGAATGCCTTCCTCATAATTATTTATGAGCAGACTTAAAGGTGACAAACATTCAAGACCGAATAACTTTATGCATTCTATTTTGCAAAGATTCAAGTTTCTAACTAGCTCGATTGTTCATGCTTTAATAATTTCTTTTATGTTAGGAAATTGGAACATTCTTTATGGACATTATTAATTCTTCTCATAGCTATGTAACTGGAGGAACATCAGTTGCAGAGTTTTGGTAATATGACTTGATTAATTATTTTTACTTCCATTTTATTTTTCCCATATGGACTTCAAATAAATGGTCCATTGACTAACAAGGGTTCTATTCCTTCTTGTTATAGCAATTACTCATTGATTAATTTCTGTTTTTTTTTTTTTTAAAGGAGTGATCCAAAGAGAATGGCAGATAATATTTTGAAAACAACAGAAACTGAAGAATCATGCACAACTTATAATATGTTGAAGGTAAAGCCAGCCATCTATCCTTTTATTAGCTAGTTGTTTCTTTTTCCCGATCCTTAGTTTTGTGCCATAAATTGCTGCAAACTGTCTTCATTATATCAGCAATAAGACAAATTTACCGGACTTAATTTCTTAGGTTTCAAGACATCTATTTAGATGGACCAAGGAAGTAACATATGCAGATTATTATGAGCGTGCCTTAACAAATGGTGTGCTAAGTATTCAAAGAGGCACGGATCCTGGAGTGATGATTTATATGCTCCCTCTTGGCCCTGGGGTTTCAAAGGCTAAAACTGGACATAGTTGGGGAAATAAATTTGATTCTTTTTGGTGTTGTTATGGAACCGGTATACATATGCTTCCTACTTTTCTCCATCAAATAATTCAAATTATGTCAAACTATATTATATGCTTATATTCTCTACTCTCTTTTCTTTTTGTGTCATCTTTAGGAATTGAATCATTCTCAAAGTTGGGGGATTCTATTTATTTTGAACAAGAAGGGAACCCAACACTTTACATAATCCAATACATATCAAGTTCTTTTAATTGGAAGTCTGGGGGTTTCATGCTTAATCAAACTGTGGCTCCTACTACTTCATGGGATCCTTACATAAGAGTTACCTTCACATTTTCTCCTACTGAGGTATTTACTTACAGATTTTAATGTTACGAAAGATACTTGCTTTTGCATGAAACTTAGTTCATTAGAATTTCAACCTCTTCCTTTTTGTCCTTTAATGATGGAGATTGAACATTTCAAACGGTGATGCAGAGATTTATTTAGAACTGTTACATGATGGTGACTATTGCAGTAGAAGATGGGCTCTTTATGTGATGCCTAAATAGACATCTGAACTTGAAACAATTCAATGCCTTGAATTTATTCTAATCCCTAAGAGAATTATCTAAATGATTATGGTTAATAGATTGAAATATTCACTTTGTTCAGGGAGCTGGCTCTTCCTCTACACTAAACTTCAGGATACCAACATGGACAGTTTCAGACAGCGCCAAGGCTGTACTGAATGATCAGACTTTATCTCTTCCATCTCCTGGTATTTAACTCGTTTCCTTTGAAAACTATGGATTTCACCTTATTTATGTAATAATCATTTGGTCTCGCCATTAGTTTTTAACACATTTTTATCCCTCTTATGTCCAACATCACATGTTATTCTGATGTTTTTTCTATCTTAGAGAAAGCAAAAGCGAAAAAGAATAGGATTCAATTTAAATTTGGGAACCAAAATGCAACTACCTTTTGTATTCTAAGAGGAAGTTCTTATCAGCATAGAACAGAGCAAACTCACCTCCTTTTTTGCCCGTGTAGGAAATTTTTTGTCAATCACAAGAAAATGGGGTAGCAATGACAAGTTAACCCTTCAGATTCCGCTTACAATCAGAACAGAGGCTATTGTAGGTATGAAAAAATCCGTCATCTATGCTAGCCACTTCCACTGAACACAAGAAAAAGGAAAAATTAATCTCATAACTGATATTGTGTTTTGGATTGAATTCAATTTAGATGACAGATCAGAATATGCTAGTCTTCAAGCAATTCTTTATGGTCCATATCTTCTTGTTGGCCATACCACTGGTGATTCGGACATTAAAGTTGGATCAGACTCATCTAATGCAAATTGGATTACTCCAATCCCAGCTACTTACAACAGTCAACTAGCAACTCTTTCCCAAGTTGTTTCAAACTCAACTTTGGCTTTAACAAACTCAAATCAATCTCTTATAATGCAAGAATTTCCTGAACCTGGCACAGAATCAGCCCCTTATGCTACCTTCAGACTTATTTCAAGTCAATCAAACTCCAAGTTTTCAACAGTGAGAGATGCCATTGATACATCAGTAATGTTGGAACCCTATGATCTTCCTGGAAAACTCTTAATGCACCAAGGAGCAGAAAAAGGTCTTGTGATTGCAGATTCTTCCAATGGCGGGGTCTCAAGTGTTTTCAATGTGGTTGCAGGATTGGATGGGAAAAATGGAACCATTTCCTTAGAGTCCAAAAGCAATAAAGGTTGCTTTGTATCTAGTTCCGGTTCTGGTGCAAGCGTGAAGCTAATTTGCAGTTCTGGTTCTGATGTTAATTTCAACCAAGCTGCAAGCTTTATAGCAACACAAGGAATAAGCCAATATAATCCTATCAGTTTTGTGGCTAAAGGGGCAAGGAGAAATTTTGTTTTGGAGCCATTATATTCCTTTAGAGATGAAACTTATAGTGTTTACTTTAACATTCAAGCTTGATATAGATTTCCTTTTCCATCCTCTTGAGAGCTACAGAAATGATTGGGAAGTGTATATGGTACATCATTGGAAAGTTCTCTTTTCATTCAAATGATGAGCGAGTGTACTGAAACATGCATCTCAAATGGCATGAATGATGATGATGCAATGTACATGAAAAAATAAATGAATATATATATATAGGGAAAATTAATATTAGTCCCCATATTAGTTTTTATCAGCTTTTATACGGTCCTTGTTGTTTATGAATTTTAAAGACATCCCTATTCTTGGTATGTTTAGGGAAAATTAATATTAGTCCCCATATTAGTTTTTTGCCGATACTGCTCATTGCAGTGTAGGGAGGAGTATTTTTTTTTTTTGGGTATGTTTATATAAATAATCTTAGTTCCTATAGTTTATATCAACCATCATATTAGTCTTTTTGTTTAAGAATTTTAAATACTTCTAAATCTGCTAATATTTATGCAGTTCATCCTTGTACTATTTATTACCAACAAATCAATCTTCGGGTCATGTCAAGAAATTTTGGGACACTAGGCAAAAATTACTGGAGGCCTAGTGTATGGAGATTTATTTTCATATCATTTTCCTAACTTTTTAAGATGCAAAGTTTATCAAATTTAATAATAAGATTATCTAAGTTTTCGCTCTCAATAAATAATTAGCTAATTAATCTAATATTACCTCCAATCCTAAATATAAAAATTCATTTGACTTTTATTTTGGTCCTGAATATAAGACCCTAATTCACTTTGCCTTTCATATTTATTCATTTTTCTCAAGGTAGTCCTTATAATAATAATAGTTCTAGCCAATACACTTAATTAACAAGGATATTTTGTAAAAAAAACATTTATTTATTACAAATAACTAACTAAACTAATTGTTTTAATCTACTCAAATTAATCAACTAGCTCTTACATTAACGATCGGAGGTAGTATGATCTTATAACATTGTTAATTTTAGAGAGATTTAAGTAATTTTATTTTTAAAACTTTTTTTAACAATAGTAACCATTACACTGTCAATAATAATTTATAGGTAATGCAAATATCTAAAAAGAATTAAATTTTTATATAGTTGAATACCTGTAATGTTTTAACATTTTTTGTTGATATTTATCTTAATGTCTTTATTTTTTTATGTTGATATTCATCTAAAGTTATGAAGTTTAGAATTTCAAATAAAAAAGAGTTAATACAAATTTGACATTATTTTAGTTTTGATTCCTAAAAATTAAAAAAATGATTTTGGTCATTGAAATTTAACTTTACTTTGAATTTGATCTTTAAAATTTGATTTTATTTTGACCCACTTAAATATTTTTGGTGCCTAAAACAAGGTCTCAACGACCTAAATCAAAATCAGGTCAAATTTTAAGGATTAAAAATAATATTAACTCAATAAAAACTAGAACTAAATTCACATTCTCAAAACGTGTTAATACTATTTTTGGCTCATTAACTTTGTTCCTATTTTGATTTTGGTCTCTCAAATTTTTTTCTATTTAAAATATTAGTTTCTATAATTTAATAAAAATTTGGATCATTTTGTCTTTTTGATGGACTAAAACCTATTGTTTGAAACTCGAGAGACTAAAACTAAAATTTATGCAAATTTGAGAGAACAGATATTATATTAAACCTTCTGAAAATTTCATGGAGTAAATATATTAATTCGAGATCTACGCATTCTTTTTATACACACACACACCAGAATAAATAATATAAAAATAATCACTTTTTACATACATACATATATGTGTGGCCCATATTTACGGGCGGTTTTATTTGGGTAATTGTCTCCGTTGCCTAAAAACGTTGTAGCCTTGATCCATCCTCCGCATGCCTATGCGAGTTGGCAATATTAAAAAAGTACTCATGTCCAAAAATAATACGTATCAAATGAATAAGCTAATCTTTCCCAAATTATTGTTTTAGCGTGGAATCTGAATATAGACGGCTAACTGGGGAATATAGTCGTTCAGTGAGCAAAAATAAAGTCGTGTGTGTATAAAAGAGCTATCCTTTGGGTTAAAACCACAAAAAAAAAAAAAACGGAAAAAAGAGCTCTCCCTGTTTAGATTGTCTTGACAATGTTAATTTTTTACAGGAATATGCTTAGATTTATCCATGCAAATAAATCGTTTATATTATTTAATTATCACAATATTTTACTCCTCAAACTTCTTGTCCAGTCATATTATAGAGGACTTCTAATGTTCTCCACCCTTCCCATATTTCCCCTCTCATTTTTTTTATTTTACCTCTTCTTTTAATTGTTTGGGCTTAGTGTATTTTAGTCTCAACATTCTCATGCATTGCCATTACCTTCAATATAATCTTCCCTTGTCTTTTGGCCTAGGCTCCCAATCACATACCTCATCAGCCTTGTGTCTACACACACACATTAATGGAGTTTTTCTTTCTGAATTTTACGCCCATTAATAGACTCTCGTATCATAATCATGTTAACTTTTGTGTAAGCTTGATTTTGGCGATATAGATAAGGCTAACATTAGGTTAAGACACAACAAGTAAATACCTAAATTTTGATATATCTCATTGTTGAAAAGTGCTTCTTTAATTCGGTTGGGGACAAGTCAGCAATGCCAAAAAAAAGGAGAAGCAATGGCATTTGTATCATGTTCATAAGTCCATTACCTGGACCTTTCTATTTTGTTTAAAATTTATCCTTTTTCTGTTTAGCTTCATTCTCCTCCCTCCATTTTTTTCTCTTTATCCTTTTTTACTATGTATATATACCCCGTTCTCACTTGCATCTTTTATCACTTCTCTTCCCATTCTCCTCTCCCCTGTTCTCTTCCATCTCAAGTGCATTTTCATTCTTTTTCTTTCTCTTCTCTTTCTAAAAAAAAAAACAATTATTTGTCATTGGTATTGGGAATTTGAATTTTAATGCAGGATCAGATGTATCTATTTGTTCAGACTTTCAGCAGGCCTGCAACTTCTTTAGGTTATTTCTCTTACTTTCTTATTCATTAATTTCTTCAAAATTCTCATTTCAATAGCCTTATCTATTTTATTTAGATTAGTCATACGAATGTTCACTTCTCAAACAGAAAATAACAAGAATAAGTCACTGATCATTGATCATATTTGAATTCTTTTTAGGCCCCTTTGTTCTTCCTATCACTTTCCTCTATGCGATCATTGTGCTGGTGTTGTGTCCTTTTGCTGTCTCTAGTCTTAAAGAATGCACCAACACTATTACCCAATCTCATACCATGCGTGCCCAATTATTAACATCTAAAAACCAGACATGGAAGGCAGAGGTTATGTCACATTATCATCTTACTCCAACAGATGACTCTGTCTGGCAAACTTTGCTACCTAGAAAGTTATTGATTGAAGAAAAAGATGAGCATGATTGGGCAATGATGTATAGACAAATTAAGAATAAGGGTCAATGGAACGCACCTCAAGGTCTTCTTAAAGAGGTGTCACTACATGATGTGAGATTGCTTCCGGGATCAATCCATGCTCGAGCACAGCTCACAAATTTGGAGTATCTTTTACTATTAGATGTTGATAGCATGTTGTGGAACTTCAGAAAAACAGCTGGTTTGCCCACTCTTGGAAATCCTTATGGAGGTTGGGAAAGCCCCGAATTGGAGCTTCGAGGCCATTTTGTTGGTGAGTTTCTTTCATTCATCATCTTAACTCATTTCACTACATCTAAATCTAGTCTTAACCATTTAGTGTTACTCATATCTCTTCATGAATCCTTTTTTTTAAGGTTGAGGTGTGAGTTACATTCATAACTATTAGGTTGAAGAAGAGATATAAATAAGTGAAAAACCTCATTACATAATGTTTTAAGGTTTTACATTCCAATGTAATGTTCAGTTATACATTTTTGCGTCAATGCCATTTTTGGTCCCTAAAATTTGATTTTATTTTGATTTTAGTCTCAAAAATTTATAACCAATGACTTTGGTCCTTAAAATCTTATTTTAGGAACCAAAAATACTATTCCAGGGATTAAAAATCTTTAAACAGACTAAAATGCGGTTATATTGTTAGGACCAAAACCAATAATTTCAAATTTTAGGGATTAAAACTAAAATAAAGTCAAACTTCAAGAACAAAAAATGATGCTAGCTCTAAATTTTTTATCAAAATCTAATGAAGTAGAGTAGCTAGGAGGATCTATCACAGACTGATTTTGTTTGCAATTTATTTTTCAATAATAGTATATAATTGCTTGATCTTTCACATTTTGAAGGGCACTACTTGAGTGCATCGGCTCGAATGTGGGCTAGCACACATAATGATACTCTGAAAGAGAAAATGTCAGCTCTTGTTGTTGGTCTTTCAGCTTGTCAGCAAAAATTTGGTACAGGATATCTTTCCGCATTTCCATCTGAATTCTTTGATCGTTTTGAAGAACTTCAGTATGTGTGGGCTCCCTATTACACTATTCACAAGGTACGTTAATAGTGAACTTGTTTATGATTATACAATTATATACTAGTGGGGGGATATTTTGTGGGATTGAATCTAATTAGTCAATTTTGACAGATTATGGCTGGCTTGTTAGACCAACACACTATAGCTGGAGACCCTCAAGCTCTAAAAATGCTAATATGGATGGTTGAGTACTTTTACAACCGTGTGCAGAATGTAATCACAAAGTACACTATAAACAGACATTATCAATCATTGAACGAGGAAGTTGGAGGAATGAATGATATCCTTTACAATTTATATAGCATAACGGTAGGATAATTTCTTTTCTAGTAACGATATTAATTTTCTTATACAATGGTTTTCACACACACACACACACTTTGTTGATATAACTTATTGAGTCATCTTGGGTAATCATTGAATGAGGAAGTTAGAGGAATGAATGATATTCTTTACAATTTATATAGCATAACAGTGGGATAATTGCTTTTCTGGTAACTATATTAATTTTCTTATACAATGGTTTTCACACACACACACCCACACACACACTTTTTGATATAACTTATTAAGTCATCTTGGGTCTGGCCATGCCCTAAGTTGATTTTTCTAGCCTATGGCATTTTGTAATTCTTTCACCAAGCATCATGCCTAGGTGAAACTTGATAGAGTTGGACTTAAGAAAAACCCTAGATATAAATATAAGTTCGATAAGACAAAAGTTCATAATTATAACTCAACACCCAATACTTGCTCTTACATTCAAATATGAAATTGTATCTATCTTGTTAACCTATGCAGAGAGATCCAAAGCATCTATTGTTGGCTCACCTTTTTGATAAGCCATGCTTTTTAGGACTGCTTGCTGTCCAGGTAATAATTTTTTTATTATTAATATATTATATATTTTATGTTAATTTAAACTATATTAATGAACCTATATTATTGTAACTTACAAAATTGTAAAGCCATTACAAGACCTAAACACCTAATTCCCTATTTACTTTTCTTACAAAGCCAAGAGTTTTAAATTTTCGATTTTTCCCCATGTAGGCTGATGACATTGCAAACTTGCATGCTAATACACATATACCAATTGTTGTTGGATCTCAAATACGATATGAAGTCACCGGTGATCCACTTTATAAGGTAAATTTCTACTTGTTTATATATTATATCATGTTTATTTACTATTTGTTACCCTTAATTTAGATATTTTTATTTATATTATTTATAGAGTTTCATTTTTATGTTTTCTTCTCAATTATGTAATATGATTATTTTCAGTAATGCCTTGTGAAATATGTGAAGATAATAAACATTCAAACTCAATACTTAGTTTCTAACTAGCTCCATTGATTTTTTTGCTTTTTCATAGGAAATTGGAACATTCTTCATGGACCTCATTAACTCGTCTCACAGTTATGCAACTGGAGGGACTTCAGTTTCAGAGTGGTGGTAATGTGGCCTAATAATTAATTAATTTTCATTTTTCCCATATGAAACTCAAATGATTCTTGAGTAGCAATTGTTGTGTTCCTTCTTGTTATAGCAGTTAGTTGCTGATGTCTTCTTTGTGTAGGAATGATCCAAAAAGAATAGCAGATAACATCCTGAAAACAGTAGAAACTGAAGAATCATGCTCAACTTATAACATGTTGAAGGTATTATTAATCATCTATCATTTTCATTGTTTTTGATGGAATACTTATAAGGAAGAAAGTATATTTAGGGAAAAATTTTAAAGCTCATATTATAAGTTGTTGTATAGTAATTTTATTGTATCAACAATGAAAAATTAACAGAGTTAGTGATTTCTTAGGTTTCAAGGTACTTATTTAGATGGACCAAGGAAGTAACATATGCAGATTATTATGAACGCGCCTTAACAAATGGTGTGCTAAGTATTCAAAGAGGCACGGATCCTGGAGTGATGATTTATATGCTCCCTCTTGGCCCTGGGGTTTCAAAGGCTAAAACTGGACATAGTTGGGGAACAAAATTTGACTCTTTTTGGTGTTGTTATGGAACTGGTAATTCAAATGTTGTGCTTATGTAATCTCTTACATTGTATGGGATCATAATATATCCTTTGATAACTCAAACTTCCATGCTCTTATGATATCCACTTTTTTTTTTGGGTATTCTTTAGGTATTGAATCATTTTCAAAGTTAGGGGATTCAATTTATTTTGAACAAGAAGGAAACCCAACTCTTTACATAATCCAATACATATCAAGCTCTTTCAATTGGAAGTCTGGGGGTCTCATGCTTAATCAGACTGTGGCTCCTACTACTTCATGGGATCCTTACTTAAGAGTCACTATCACATTCTCTCCTGCAATGGTACTTACAACATTACCTGATATTCATCTTTAACTATTTTAGACTGAGCATCATCATGATGCCTAATTTGGTTGAAGTTTGGCTTGTTTTGTTCTCATCCACTTTTCACTAGTAGTTCTATCATTTTTAAGGGGGGAAATAGGAAAAGTGCTACAATTTTAATATCTAAAACTCAAAATATACACTTTTGCAGGGAATTGGATCTTCCTCTACGTTGAATTTAAGAATACCAACATGGACACATTTAGACAATGCCAAAGCTTTATTAAATGATCAGACTTTATCTCTACCTTCTCCTGGTATTTTACTCTTTCCAACTTCAACTAATGCATTGGCAAGGCTAAGATTTGAAAGTAAATTTTATTTTGTGGACATATAGGAAACTTTTTGTCAATCACAAGAAAATGGAGTGCCAATGACAAGCTAACCCTTCAATTTCCTGTTACTATTAGAACAGAAGCTATAAAAGGTAGAAATCTATTTGTACTTTTCACTTTCGTTTCATACAAAGAGGAAAAAAAATTTCTTATTATTGATATTGTATTTTGAATTGTATTCGATTGATCAGATGACAGACCAGAATATGCTTCTGTTCAAGCAATCCTTTATGGTCCTTATCTTCTTGTTGGCCATACCTCTGGTGATTGGGATATTAAAATTGGGTCAAATACATCTATTGCTAACTGGATTACTCCAATCCTTACGAGTTACAATAGTCAACTGGCAACTTTTTCCCAAGTCATTTCAAGCTCAACTTTTGCTCTAACAAACTCAAATCAATCTCTCATAATGCAAAATTTACCTGGACCTGGCAACGAATCAACCCCTCACGTGACGTTTAGACTTATTCCAAGTGAACTAATCTCACAATTTTCAACAGTGAGAGATGCTATTGGTAAATCAATAATGTTGGAGCCATATGATCTCCCTGGAAAGCTCTTGATGCACCAAGGAGTAGAAAATAGTCTTGTGATTACAGATTCTTCTAATGGTGGGGTCTCAAGTGTTTTCAATATGGTAGCAGGATTAGACGGACAAAATGAAACTATATCCTTAGAAGCCAAAAGCAATAAAGGTTGTTTCATGTGCAGTACTGATTCTGGTGCAAGCGTCAAGCTAAGATGCAAGTCTGGTTCAGATGTTAACTTCAATCGAGCCGCAAGCTTTATACTTACAGAAGGATTAAGCCAGTATGATCCCATCAGTTTTGTGGCTAAAGGGGAAAAGAGGAATTTTGTCTTGGAGCCGTTATACTCCTTCAGAGATGAAACTTATACAGTTTATTTTAACATTCAAAATTGATATAGGTTTTATTTTTCCTCCTCTCAAGAGATAGGGAGATGATTAGAAATTGGATATGGTTATATTCCATGAAGAGGGGGATTGAAATATCTCAAATGATATGAATTATGATGATACAATGTAAAGAATAATTAAATGAATTAATGAATATATGGGGAAAATTGATCTAATAATCCCTATAATTTGTATCATATTTAATTTGTTCTGAAAGTTAGAATTTTTGAAGACATCTTTGTATTGTTCATCCTCTATAGGCTTGTGGATTAATATTAAGAAAAAAATTGCCAAAGTTACCTCTGGTTTTCTAATACCAAAACAGGGTTTTGATTAATCAATGATTTTGATCACTTTTCCTACTAGTTTTAATGATATATATATATATATATATATATATATATATATATAAGAGACATGGAACCCATTCTCTTATGTCTCCTCTAACTTGGAGGAGAAGGAACTGAACAAGTTGGGTTCAGTGTAAATAACTCTGAGGACAAGTGCTCCTCCATTTAATTTCTAATCATCCAGTGACTGAAAGAAGAAATAGATTCAACCTGAAATCCCTAAGATGACTCATCATATTGAAATTAGGTATGGTTTTTAGTTTTCAATCTCTCTTTCAGTAGAAGTTGTATATTTATTGTTGTAAAGCGTATATATGTAATCAAATCTATAACAAATTATAGTACCCACAGATTATGAATGTTGAAATTTATTCATCAGATTGAAGGATTCAAATTGGCCCTAAGCTGTGTTGGTCTTAGTTAGAGTGGAAGCAATATAACATGTAAAAACAGCGACAATCTGGCATTATAAATATATAAATAAGAAATATTTACACGCTAAGACTCACACCATTTATACATACATATATATAAAGAAAGGAAACATTATTTAACAAACACTATTAGTCACAACGAGAGTGGCAAAAATTAGAATGATATTCTAAATAGAAGTTTCAACGGCTACACTTGGCAGATGGGCTTCCCTTGATGACTGTAACGGGGCAAGAAGCATTTCTCACCACATGATTGCTTACACTCCCTAGCAACACCCTATCATCATCATCATCAATAATTTCAATCTTTGGTATGAAAACTATTTAACTAATTTGAATAGATTATTAAGTCAAATAAATTAGTTAATTATAACAAATGTGATAAGTTATTAGTTTTGAAAAAATGATAAATATAAAAAACAAAATAAATTGAGATTTTATATTTAAAACTAAATCCAATGATTCAACTAATTCTTATAATAAAGAGTGGAGGTAGGTAGTACTATAATTTAAAATATAAAGAGAGAAGAAAGTGTGTTGCCTTTTGATGGGACCAAAACCCCTACTTCCAACGACCAAAGAGTCAAGTTGTAGCTGATTAACAGCTTTGCACAGCTTCTCTTTTGGATCCCCCCAATATACCTTTGCCTCTACCTTTGCCTGTTACACATATTCACAAGCACACACCAATACCGCTTCTTCATAATTCATAAACTATTAAATAACCTTTCAATTCATACGAGAGAAATAAAATTGCCGAATAACACAGCAAGCAATAATAAGCAAACAAACAAAATCTACACACAGATATATACCCCTCTGGTTTTTGAGCCAGTGTCAAGGATAGCCATCACTTCCGGGTCCCTAGGAATCCCATATTGCTTCACCAAGTTGGTCTCTCTCAGTTCCTCCAAAGGCACCAAAGCTGCAAGACCCATGCATACATACATACATACTTGTATATTTATATATCAAAAAACCTGAACTGAAGTTATATATAAGCATGAATGGACAAGAGAGACGTATATACGTGAACCAGTGTCGTGGAAAAGGTCTTTCCTAGTGTGATCAGAGTGGGAAGGCTGAACGTTGATGAGGATGAGGCGATCCCCTTTGTCGGTGAGATTATGGAGAGCCCATTTGAGGGCTGATTTGCTGGTCGGAGAGAAGTCCACAGCTACACCAACGGTACGTGTCTTTGCCATCGATGCTGATCTTAACAAGTTCCCAGGTCTTGTGTTTCTTTTATAATGGTATTTATTTGCTTTTATGTTTATTCTGTATTGAGTTGTTTGGCGACTTTGCGGCTGGTTTCGAAATCCTCTGGGTCGGAGAATATTTTGGTGCTATGCAGTTGAAAAGATGGATAAAGAATAGTGGAAAAAAAGAGAATTTTTGTGGAATATGATGAGCTGTGTATAGTCAATTTTATTCCTTAAAGATAAGAGTGAGTGCATGTTTGGAACGGTGTCAAAGAACTTGTCGCTTAATCGGCTCCCTTGTGGGGGAGGGGGTTTTAAATTCTCTCTCCCCCTCTCTATATATACATGTGTGTGTGTGTATACAAGACATTTTTTTCTCAATTTCAGTTTGCAAAAATTCACTGATATAAAAGTCATTTTTACCGCTGTTAATATGAACAAGCTCTTAACTGTTAAACATGGTGGGAACAGGAAACAGGGAACTTTGAGCAGACAACTGCGAACTATTCGGCTGATGCGATACAGCTAAACAACAACTTTCTAACGTAGAAATCCACAGATAATAAACTAGCTAATGCCTATACCTGTCAAGAGATGCTCATGATCAAAGAGGATTCTAGTTTTGTACCCAAGAAAAAATACGTCATATAAAATAATAACTACTTGCTACGCACAAAGATACCAATGATTAAAAAAATTAATATCTGTCAAAATGCTGAGAATACGATGTAGACCCTCATATAAATTGAGTTTTTTAATATATGATGGTTAAAAATTGATTTCATAATTAACTAGTTGTTTAAATTATATTTATAAGAGTCCTACTTGTAAAACTTGTGTGAAAGTTCTTACTGATCGCGTTAATCTAAGTTGAATGTCTTGCCAATCACGTTAACAGAAGTTGAGATTATACTGCAAAATTATGATTCAATTTTGAGGTAGATTAAGAATATTATTAATTAGATTATAAAATGCTTTATAAGGTAGTGTTTAAGACCAAAACTAACTGAAAAACTCAGGTGAGCATAATTTCTTTTTGCAGTTCTTTTTCATGAACTATATATTATTCTCCCTCTGTTCATATTTATAAGAAACAATTTACTAGCTACTCATTATAAGTACGTTCATGGAAGTCAAGAACACTTCAAAAATTAAAAGAAAGAATTTTTCTCCCATACTTATTTCGTACAATGTAAATTATAATTGAAAAGTTACTTTTAAACACTCCAATTACCATCCTAAATAAGTCCTTAATCAATTGAACTAACGTATGTTTTTCCGTACCATGAGTTATGTTATAATACCTCCGGTCCTAATTATAAGAGCCAGTTGATTAATTTGAGGAGATTAAGAAAGTAAGTTAAGTTAGTTATTTGTCCTAAATAGGTGTTGTTTTTCTTAAAATATCCTTACTAATCAAGTGTATTGACTAGAACTATCATTTTTAGAAAGGCTACTTTGGAAAAAAATGTATAAATATGAAAGACAAAGTAGATTGTGGTCTTATATTTAGGACTAAAATAAAAATCAGACAGGGTCTTATATTAAGACCGGAGGCGGTAACTTATAAGGCTCCAGCCTTGGATATATAATAGGAAGGGTTTCAAATTAAATAAAATCATATTACATTTTTCAAGTGTGTTACATTGCAAGATTTTTTTGGACAAAGTGAATATGGACCTGTCCCTCATAAAGACGCATTATATTCCCATGAAATTCATTTTTGGATTCTTTTGTTACTTTTTGGCTTATTATATTGGACTCGTTTTCTTTCCTTTTAATCCCTAATGCACATTCCTTCTTCCTTCAAAGCTTGCGATGTTAAAGCAAGCCTATTGTAATTTATGTTTTTGATCTGCTAAAAACAAAACAAAAAAAACATGCCAGCCGTAATTTTGCTTAGTTTACGTAAAATTAACCCCAAAAAAACGACATAAACCCTTCGTCTATGTAAATGATAGCAAATATTTGTAGGGTCTGGTTTTCTAGTGTTCAGTCAAATAAAAAAAAAAAAAAAAAGCAGAAAGGCTCTTGTAATTGGGATTTTCTCTTTTTAATTTCTACTTTACTTTCAGAGATAGATAATTGTTTCTGACAGCTTCATGAACAACAAACTCCATGGTGGTACTTCACAAGCACTGCTTCCCTTCCGTGGCTTCACGTTAGTGCTGTATAATAGAGACACAGAGTATATGATGCTTCATGGACCAAGTCCTCCTTCTGCCACAAACAGGAAACCACGTGATTTAGACAGAAACAAAGAAGCACTCCATTTGTGTTAAATTTTAATTTAATTTCTAATTTTTACAATCGTTTCTTTAATGTCAACAATTGAAAGTTATTTTCATTCTGTATTTTATTTCATTGAAAATGTTTAAACTCAGATGCTGTCTGAGAAAAAAGCTTAATATGCTTCGAGTCGTTCTACAGAGAAAATTCACCCCCCCCGGGAGGGGGGGGGGGAGCATGTTTAGGACAAAATTTCTGGCTTTATGTCTATCATATAGGCAAGGCTGAAGTAACAAAGTAATCATAGGGTGGCTGAAATATTTGGCAACATTTATTCACATTATTTTCTAATTATTAAAGAGGCAAAATTAAAAGTAAAAGAAGGAAAGAGAATAATAGCCAATCAAACAACAATTAGTGCTTCTTTGTTCATTGATGTAGAGTCTGCCAAAGTTTTAAATTGATATTAACTCCCTCAGCTACTTATTCTACTTTTGTTTTTTGGGTTTCCATTTGTCATTGTCGTCAGAGTCAAGTTGATGCCAAGAGACTATTCATGTTAGCTCAAACTTAATTCCTTCATAAGCAAAGATATTCATTGTGTGAGATAGGTCATCAGGAAAGACAATGGTTTTTACTTTTTCTTACTAGCGTAGCTACTAATTTAATGGGTAAAACAAACAAAACGGTAAAGGAAGCTCACAGAAATCAAGGTTGAAGTATGATGAGCTAGAAAAGTTAAAGTACTGGGTATCTTCTCCTTTTGTCCTTGTCTAGCAGAGGACAAGAGCATAAAGAAAAGTATCATAGAAAATGAAATATAACCCATGAGGAAAAGATATTCATGCTTTGAATATTTACCATGGAAGAAAAATATATAAAGAAAAAGAAAAGCTTATTTAAATTTAGAATAACCATCTACTGTCCACTTTCGTTAGTTGTTATGATTATATTCAACATCATGTAGCCAATTGCAAACAATAATTGCCTTCTGGCTTAAACTTCTTTCTGGTTTTATAAAGATAAAATGTCCCAAATGTTTTATATCCATGAAATGCTTAAAACAAAAAAGGAGAAAAAGAAAAATCAAAGATAAAACAAGACCCCTGTCTTTCTTGCTGTAGCTTTCTCTTTCTCTCTGCGATCAAATAGAGACACAGACAAAGAGACATGAGTCTCACAGAGACCATCAGAGTGAGATATCCTTTAACCTAATCATGTCATTCTTGTCTTGTACTAGCATCCCTCCGGATAATAATGCATGTTTTGAGAAGAGAACAAACGAGCCTGTTTTCATTTCCCGAAAGAATAAAAAACCTTCCCCAGTGCACCTAGACAAAAATTTAAATCAACTTCTACTCACATTGCATAATCAATAATGAACGCTTTAATTAATGTCAATTAGGTAGGTAGGTAACATCAGGATTTTAGAAGGGTCCATTGCAGCATATTCCTTAAGCCATAAAGTGAAACAGATAAAAATAGCTACTTGTTCATAAGTGAGTCTTCAACCCTACATATAAAAAGGGCTTTCTTCTATGTCATAATTCATACCCAACACAGCTTGTGTTCTCACTCTCTTGCCTCCATGGACTTGGAATTGGAGTCACTAGTTCAGATACATCTCTTGGTACATACGTTATGTTTTCAGTTCCCCTTCCTCTTTGATTTCTACTTTTCTAGCTTTAACTTGTTTGCCTGCATACCACTAGCTGACATTTTACTGTTTTTTCCCTCTCTTTATCTTGTTGCTGAAACAGAGTCCTGGTTTTCATCTGATAGATCTACTGGGTACCTTGAAGATGTTATTGCAGGCTGGAGTTTTTGGTACAAGCAACAAAATTTACCATTGTACTCTCTGTCTCAGGATCAAAAGGTCAATTTATAATTATAGACACGTTTCATGTTCCCTTCAACAATCACTAGTTGTCAAGTTCTTGAAACTCTAATTATGTTTTCATCTATGACAGGAAACCCATTGTCTGGCAGACCAGATAGATATATTTCCACCATGTTCTTCCACAAGAACCCAACGCCTGGTTGATGGTAAGCCATGCTCCATTTCTCTTCTTTTGTTTTTCTTTTGGCCAATGCATGCACACCTTCTCTAACTCCATCTCAATGTTTATTATCCTATTCCTTCCTATTCTCTGATCCTGTGCTCCAGGTGATGGGCAGGATTTTTGTAGCCATTAAGCTTATTAATCAGATAAAAGTTAGACGCAATTTTTTTTGGCATTTGTCATCGGGATTTTTAATAAAAGCATGACAAGTGGATTTTTGTTGAGTCAACAGGAGGATGTTAATGCTGAGTAATAAAAACCGTTCACCCGTTATATTTTATTAAACAAAATCGTAGATAAAATCAAAAACTGCCTAAAATACTTAAGTAAGATTTGTCCTAGCAGTAGAGTCTATTATTCGAAGTAAGTTTTCAACCAAGCATTTGAATATTAACCCATCAGTATGTTACTCATTCGGGTTGCAAGCATAATGACAGTACACTGCCCACTACCGTTGCTTTTGGTACTATCGCAGTCAGTAACTGATAATTACATACCTCAGTCCCACCTGCAGATTACACCATTCCAGACAATGAAAAATTCAGCACTGGGAGCCAATCATCATCACCACAAGACACGCATGCAGCTTCAACACAGGAAGATAATCCTGAGAAGAGAAAGGCATCTATACAATCAGACGAAAACGATACTTCAGTTTCAAGTATTACACACACACTTTTCTTCAAACACAAAAGGGACATGACTAACTCAGTCATTAACTCTCTGCTTCTTTAACTTTTTTCTTCCACACAGCTTCTTTCGAAGTACAATGGTTCACTTTTTATCCTTCCACACAGCTTCTTTCGAAGTGCAATGGTTCATTTTGCAGTTTGGTTTTGATGTGTTATGGATTCCAGAGGGTCAGAAGAAGCGAATTGCTTACCCGTTCGAGATGGTGAAGCGAGGAGGGGCAAATGGAGAAACAGTGCTTGAAGACATAAATCAGCAGATGCGAATGAGCCCAGCGAAGCCGATTCCGCATCCAGTGAGAGATCGAGTGCGTGTTCCATGCGATTCTGATCGTGGTTTTGGGATTTCAGGAAAAGCAGTGGTGGCTCTTACTAGGATTCACACACAGGGTACAGGATCTATCACCGTTGTTAGAACCGAGGGATGAAGTGAGTGTTGGTGGATGAATTTGCGTTCCTTTATTGATGAATATTGCAGCAAATATATAACCGTACACTGACTTGAAGGGCACGCCTAAATTTCTGAAAATAAACTGAATATAAATAATAAATAAAAGAGAGTGGGAGAGTCGG